ACTGTATAAGTAGTATTGTGTAATGAACTCGAACCATTGTGTATTTAACTTGAATCATTGTATATTTAACTCAAATTTTGCTACAATGGGATCCATTCTTAACTAGGGGGCATTTGTAATCTGGGTGTTCTTAACCTGGAGACTACCGTACCGGACCTTAAATGGATGATTCTCACCATCAGGAGTAGTCCTAATTTTTTAGCTATTTATATTCTGCCTTCCCTCCAAGGAGCTCAGGAACATATCTAACAACCTTGTGAGCTAAGCTAGAACAGCAATGATGGCTGACCTAGAATCTCTCAGTAAGATTCATGGCAAAGTAAAATCTGATTTTTTGCCGTCTACCCTTACCACACTGGTCTTGCTTGCTCTCATGTTTCTCCTCTCTTGCACAATGAATCGTCAAAGCAAGTAATTCCATATTTGTTTTAATACAGGTTTTTGGACCTGGATACTAAAGATCTCTTGCTTGAAATTCTCACTAATGAAGCAGCAGAACATCCTGACATAAATTCTACTCAATCCACGAGTTGAAATTTTCATTGTTAAATGTGGATGGTGAAAGAGGAGATACCTACAAGGCCCATTCCTCATTTACCACATACCAGAATTAACAAAAGAAACAAAAGTGTGCTGCAAATGATGATAGAGGAACAGTTAACTAACAAAAAGCTGGAAGTGACAGTTCATAAGTAAATGATCTTGCCATTCAGCAATCGAGAATATATTTCTTATATTAATAAAGAATTGGACCCTATTCATCCACCAATTTCTCACAATAGTCATGCTATTTTTTATGAATGTATTAAATACAGACACAGGCCTGCACACACACATTTATATTTATATAGTCCTTTTGAGTTTTAATTAATTATTTTGAAAATATGCTTAAATAAAATAATTAGAGACAATGTAATACAAAACAGCCAGAGTTGCAGTTCGGACCCTAATTATTAGCTACTCTACATTATCTTAGCACCACTTGACTATCTGTCAAAGCTTATAAAGGGAGGACAATGCTAGCAGAGCATGAAACACTTACACTTTTAGCCTTTTCCAAATATTTTTTGTATCGTTCTTCCATTTGCTTCATTTCTTCTTCTTTTTTACACAAAGCTTCTTGCAATTCTTCTATTTTGAGTGCTTTATTCAGAGCAGATATCATATTTCAGAATAATGCAAAGATTTAAGAGATTTAAGTTTGAGAAGTTAGATATACTAAAGAGCAGATAAAATTAAATAGAATGAAGAAACATAAAGATCAGAATATACTGTATATTTGAACCATAACTACAAGGAATTCTAAAAACTGGGTGAAACCCAACTAGAGAAAGATCAATATACATTTTTGTTGCTGATTACAGATAAGAAGCGAATGGCACCCACATCATTCAGATATGTATATGTGGCAGCCTTGTCTTAGATGTTTAGGTAGTTATACCCAAATTCTATTCATTTCTCCAACCAAGCTACACAACCAAAGCCATATTTATAGTGAGTGCAGTGTTCAGAGATCTACTTTGAGAACTTTCCCAGAGCAGCTGTATTATAATTTGCAAAGAAGGCATCTCCTTGTATTGCAGGATGTTGAAAGAACAGAAAAGAGTAGTTTAACTATATTCCATTACTGTTATTGAGTGAATTACATTCAAAGTGTATGCTACTGTATGACTCAAATGATAAAAGAACAATTAACAAGGTTTTATTTCATTTAAAAAAATAGCCAAACACTACATACTAACTAGCTGAAATGCTGGGTCTTAGAATAAAACCTGTGTTTAAGATCTATATTCACCTTTGGGGAAAATAAATAAATATATTTGGATTTTTTTAAAAAACAGTTGCAATTAAATGATCTGAAATAGAGAACTACTCACAACTATTGTTGTAACGAGGTTCTAAATCTTCAATGATTGCCCGTTTCTTCTGAAGCTCATTATTAGCTTCATGCAGCTTTTCACTACAAAAAAGAAAAGAATTTACACATAAAACAACTGCTTTGTAGCTCTTCATTGGATCAATATTAAAGAGAGAAGAAATTAGGATATTATAGTTTTGGATAATTTCAGCACAGCAACACAGTTTCATCAAAAACTAGTACTGGCTGTTAGCTGACTTTTGCTTTAAGGCACTGAAGATCCTTAGAATTAGATGAGATTAAGAAAGAGTTAATGAAAGTAAGGAGACATGGGAATGTGAACTTGAGAGACTGTGATTGTGACTATAGATGATTTATGCTGGAATGGAACAAAATGGAAGATTGGAGAATGTTAAGTCAAGGGAGATGTTGAGAAAGAAAAATTCCTAGTTCAAACCATGATCTAAACATTTTATCAAATTATTAAATATTATTTCTGAGCCCTATAGATGAAGTTCATTAAACTAGGAACACAGTCTATAGATACCCACCAGGACATAAGAGTCACAGAATTAGTGGGACTATCTTTTCAGTAAAGATATTCAAAGTTTGATTATTAAAGAAGGATTTTAAATTGCAAATATTTCCAAGTTCTTTCATGTCAATATACTAAGCAATTTTAAGTGATTCTACTTACTCTCCATAAGATACAAATACTATTTATTACTATTATTATTATGAAAACAGTAAGAAGATTTTTATTACTCACAGATGTTCATCAAGTTTCTTTTTCAGAATGACTGACTGTAAATGAAAGAAAGAAAAGATTACTTGAAACAAACAAAGCAATATATTGTTATCTGAAGCATGAAACAAAGCCTCAATGAATACTTTTAAGGCAGAGATTTGGGACAAAGAACCAATGGGAAAGAGAAACTAGGCTGTCTAATCCCCCTCCTTATGTAATGTGTTTATATACAAATTCATGGTATTTATATACAGTACCACTACATATGGCCAAGCATCTCAACAGCTTACAATAATATACAGCAATACAAATAATTAAAAATACTTATAACAATGCAAAACAATATAAAACAATATTCTGTAAAACAGTCTTTAAGAAGATATGGAGAAAGACAATTTTTCCCCCAACATTCATATTGAGAAGGACTGGGTGAAGGGGTGAGTTTTGAACAGGTACCTACAGGTTGTTAAGACCGGTGACCCCCAAAACTGAGGGTGAGGGCTTTCCACAGCATGGGTGCTGTCACAGAGAAGGCCCACCCATGAGCAGCCACCAGATAGTTCAGCAACTCTTGGTATACAGGGCAAGACCTCCCTTGATTATTTCAGTGACCAACCAGGTCTAGTAAAGTGAAGGCAATTTAGGTTAAGTTATTTAGGGGTTATACGTCATAACTAAAATCTTGAAAATAGTTCAACGACTAACTGGCAGCCAATACAGTTGCTTCCAAAAATAATAATAATAATAATAATGTGTGCACAGTCCGATGTCTCATTCAGCAACCTAGCTGATATAACCTGCGCCAAACACAAGGGTAGACCCATATAGGGGGCATCGCTATAATCTTAGTATGACGCTACCAGCAAGTGAATAACTGCAGCTAGACTATCCCTGTCCAGGAAAGGGCATAATTTGTATATCAGCCAATAGTAATAGGCAATTCTAACCACAGAGGTCACCTGGACCTCCAATGATAATGATGATTCTAGGAGCACCCCTGGATTACATACCTATTCTTTCTAAAGGAGTGAAACCCCATTTTCAACAGATAAACCCTCCAACTCTGAACCCAGGAGCCACCCAATCCAAAGCCTCCATCTTGTTCAGATTCAGTTTTATTTTACTGGGTCTCATCTACTCCATTAGCACATCCAGGTACTGCTTCAGAATTTGCACACCTTCTACAAAAAGTAGACCTGAATGTCATCTACACATTGCTGACACCTAGCTGTCCCCAGCAGTTTCATACAGCTGTTAAAAAGCACTGGGGACAAAATAGTGTAGAGCTGCCAGGCTGCAGAGGCAGTCACCCAATACTATGCAACCTTTGCTGAAATTATCCCTGCAAGTAGTTTAACACAGTGCCTTCAATCCCCAACTCACAGAGGTAGTCCAGGAGCACACTGTGGCCAACAGTGTCAAAAGCCACTAACAGTTCAAGCAAAATCAACCAGAGTTATGCTCCCTCTGTCTCTTTTCCACAGGAGGTCACCTATCAGGGCACACGTGGCTGATTCTGTCCCAAAACCAAACTAGACTGAGATGAAGAAACTAAATTTAATCTAGGGCTGTATGCTAATTTTTTTTGAAATTTTACTGTGGATGTTTTATGGATGATATATATTACCGTGGGTGTTTTAAGTGTTTCAGATTGTTGTAAATCACCAGGAGTCCCTGGTAGATTTGGTAGGAATCAATCAATCAATCAATCAATCAATCAATCAATCAATGAATGTACTTATTTGGTAGGGCTCAAACATGTTAACACCAAAGCCCTTTTCACAGTGTGAACATACAAGAGGGAACATTTGCATATTTGATTGGGAATTATCTAATTACCTGCACTACTATTTCACACCAATTCCTATAGTATAGATTAAGGGATTTTATAGCATGTTAAACCATCTCAACTAAATACAGATATAAAGTCCATGCCATTATTTTTCTCACTCTAGAAATAATTTGAGGAAACACCTAATGAAATAAACTTTTAACGTGGGAGCAACCTCAGACTTTTCAAATCATTTGTATACTTGTTTCTAAGAAAACATGCCACAAGCTTGTCTAGAAACTGCCAGAAGGACAACACATACAAAAATAATCAAACAAGAGACAGATAGCACATAGCATGCAAAAAAAGAACATAAATAAGAATTAAATCTTGTCCATTTACATGTTTTTGAAAAATCTGAGCCACAAATGAGACTGATTCAGAGCAGATTGAAATAATTAGGAAGCCATACTCACAATAGCCTTGTGCAGAAACCCATGCCAAGAGACAGAGGCGACAGTTTAGTACGAAGTGAACAGCAGCCAACAGAAGAAACTATTTAGTATCTTTTCTGAAGATAATACAATTAAAGCAAGGCATTCTCACAGAGCATGCACATTATCTTCTCTTTCTGTGCTCTATAAGGTTTCTTTCTCCTATCTCATCCTCTAGAGAATTCTGAAAAACTATCACAAAGGTGTGTTAAGCATATGAGTGAGGGCTCTCACTCAAAGCAGATGCTACAAAAAACAAGACAACTTTAGGAAAATATGAACTCAAAACTAGAATAATAAAAAAAGGATGGTGATAGTCTTAATTTTTTGCACGGACAAGGTTTTGATGCCATACATGATAATAGTTAGTCAGTCTGCTGGGCGCAGCCTATAATGTAGTCTGTGATGGAGACCAACATAATGTGTACAATATAGTTCATCCAAGACATCAGGTTCTTATTTGTATAATAAATTGTTTTTTAAATGGTGATGTTTCAATTATGATTGGCCAATGTACAAATCTAAAACCATTTCCTCACAAAATTAAAAGGAAGGGCATTTCTACTCCTCAGCATTTACGGTAGTCCTGTGCAGTGAACACATAAAGCAGCTTATCGGCCTCATCTGTTCCAATAATGCATGTATCATACTTAGAAGGGAAAACAGCGCCCTCGTGTTATTAGGATTCATACGCTTAGCACTCATGGCTCCAGCTCTCTATTTGCTGCTTTCTAAAGAATATGGACTACGTTGATATATACTGCCTGTAGGTCAGAAGATGAATCTTTACATCAAATAAATTATTAGCTGCCCCAATAATTGTAATTTTTACTGTTGCCGCCTATATAGGATTAAAGCTGGATGCCAGCTGACTCTCCAGCTGGAAATATCTAGTCCAATCCCATCTCAGCTGTTCCTTTGGCTATTCCATTGGGTTTTTTCTTTACCATCAGCTTTTCTTTTGAGAAAATCAGTTGGATTTCACTAAGGGGATGGGGGGAGGCGGGTTTCAGTTCATCAATAAAAAGCATAAAACAGAAAATCACATCATTTACTTTTAGATATGAAGGAGGTGAAATTTGACAGAAAAATTAATGTGATTAGCATGAAAATAGAAGGCATTTAATACAGTTGGACCTAGATCCATGCATTTGTGTATATTTTTACTTACATCTTCAGCTTTTGAACCTTGCTCCTGTAAAGATTTCTGTAATTCTTCAACCTGGGATTGTACTTCAAGCAATCTCTGATTTACAAGCCTAGAAATAAGAAACAGGATTTAACTTTTAAGAAGCAATGAGGGGTGTTTTTCTCCTAAAAGGATCATATGTTAGTCAAGGTCTTGAGTGTGTTTAGCAATATTTATGGAAATAATGGCCTTAAGGTTTTATTTTCTTATTAGCACACTCTCCTGTCCTTCAAATGAAGCAATACTACTGTGTCTCCTCTTAATTACTGTAGAAATCACCAAAGTAACAAAGATGTGATAAGCACATCACATGCTAGGTGAAAGACTATTTTTTAATGAAGTTGAATAGCTTGCTCCCATGGGCTCCATGCTACTTCTCATTCACGTTTTTGCAGCATCTATACCAGTTCAAGATTGCACTGTTGAAATATGTTCCAAACTGTTGATTTTTCTCAATACAATTTCTTGAGTTCTTCAAATGAAACAAGCACAAAAATGGGTACATAAAACCTCTGCTAAGCTTAACACAAATAACAAAAATTCCTACCCCTTAAAAAAAAAAAAAAAAAGGACAAACATTCTGACCCCGAGTCTAGTGATGGTATTACCTCACCAGTCCACCATACCCTTGAAGTCTCCAGACATTGTTATTGTAAATAATAACATGCAGTCCCAGCCAAAAAGTGTTGCTTTTAGTATCTTTAAAGTGGAAGCACTCTTTAACACAGGGCAAGTGGTCCTAATGTCAAGTTGGACAAGCCCCTTTCCCCCTGCCCCACTACTCTAAAAGAAAAACAGCACCTTCTTACCTGTTCTCCGTTTCTAGTTCGTTCTTTCTGAGATTGGCATCATCCAAGAGACTCTGGAGCAAAGCAATCTTCTCATTGTCAGACCCTTCCTGTTTAACTTTTAGCATTCTGTTTTCAAGTTGAAGGCGAAGAAGTATTTCCCTTGAGAAACAAAGCAGGAGTAATGAAATAGTGTCACCCTCTGGGGGAAATCAATACCATCACCACAGAAAATATGCATTGTGTTGTAACCATCTTACATTTGTTGGACAGCATCAATCTGCTTTGGATCATTTTCTTCAATAAATAAATGAAGAAGAATGAGTTTTTGACTCATTTGTTTAATTGGTTCTCCAGTCTTGGGACTTGTGTGGAGAACAGATCACGTTTTAAGTCATATTTATGCAGAAATATTAAAAATTCAAAAGGGGTCACAAACTTTTAAGCACCACTGTATAACTAAATCCAGTTTATAACAACACCATTCATTATACTTATCCTTGTCTTTCTATCCTTGCAAACCATCTTTGCTTCCATCATATCTATACACTAGTTCATATATTGCCTTTGTTCTTTAAATATCTGTTCTCTTTTTCAAGATCACATCAGTTCCACCCGTCCATGACTTTCATGGCGTCCCCCTTCTTCATTTACTCTTCCTTCATATATTAGTTTTGTGATCAAATCCTCACTCACTCTTTCTGTATAACCAAACGAAGATTTTCTTCCATGTCCAATTTTCCCCCAAACTCACTCCTGTGGCTACCAAAAAAATGGCCTGTCAGAAATTCCCATCACCCTTGTATGTTTCACTAAATCAATCTTTCATCATAAACAATCAAATCAATTATGACTTTAGGTTCATTCCTTTTCAATTTGTACAGGTAGTCCTCATTTAAGCAACTCGTACAATGACTATTTGCAGTTACAACAGTGATGAAAAAGTAACTTTACGACCAAACCTCACATATATGACCTTCACAGGTTGTAAAGCAAAGGAAAGCTGAGGTAAGACCGTAAGCACAGTTGCAGTTTCACTTAGTGACCACTTTGCTTAATGACCAAGTTGCCAGTCCCAATTGTGGTCGCTAAATGAGAACTACCTCTATGCATCAACAGTGTTATGCTTAAACCACATATTCAAAACAAACCTCTTCCTAAGTAGGTACTCACCAAACACATTCTCATTCATTCTTGGGTCTCCAAATGGCCAAATCCCATTTTGTACTCTCTTCTCATTCCTACCCATCCACTTGTGTCACCTAACAGAACAATTTTTCCCCAGATTGCTTTTCTTCAGAATGCTGCACAATTTTTGTACAACTTATCTTTGGTTCTTCCATTACTGCCATTCACTGGAGAGCAATATGCAACTAACACTAACCTACAGATTCCTATTTTAGTGTGCACCCACAGGAACCCAGATGAGAGTAATTCATACTTTTAAAACCACGGAAATTAAGACATTTATTTTCTAACTAGCTCCAGTTTAAAATGCACTGATAAATTTTATTGGTATATTTTATAAACAATGTCTAACCCCACAGAGTTAAAAAATGTTCTTTTAATATAAGCTTGACTCAACTACCCCAATACCAACTTCTATTTAAGAGCACCAGGAAGTTCCAGAGATGAAAACAACAGAAAGTAAAACAGACACTGAACAAATTAAATTG